CAAAAGTTCAGTTCAGTCAACAGTTCAGTTAGTACAGGACCTTTGAGAAGAAATGCAAGAAATTTTGATAAAAAAGTAAAAAAGAAAAACTGAATGAAAATAATAGAAGGGATCGGATTTACATCAGATTGTAAGACTGTTGTAAGCGAAAATGGGTTAGGGCGAGAAGTGGTGTTATATATGAGCAGATTCTGTAGAAAAATTGTTGAGAGAACTCTAGCAATACAGGATAATTGATATAAAAGTTCCTTATAGCGTCCTAAAACGATCCCAAGTTCGATTCCCTCTCGATCCATACATGCCAAAAATGTGAGATCGCTTTAGCATCCAGTGTGCTTATCCCATGTTGATGATGTTAATACAGAAAAGGTCAAGCGGAACTACTTGCCTTAGATCTGAGTTTTACTCGTAATACCATTTCTCTCCTGGTTTTTGTCTTCAAAAATCTCCCTTTATTATTTCTGCAGGATTAATGTCCCTCGCTAAGACGGTGGGTTTGTTATTTGGAAAATCGCTTAAAAACACAGATCTTCGAGCGTTTTTTTTTTTTGTTTAAAATATACATTCGGCTAAAATACAGTAGTCGGTGAAACTACAATTAAAATGTCACCAAAACTATGATATCTGCAAGCTTCTGCACTCACAATAGATTCATTCACCTGAAAACACTCAGAGAGTTATATGATTCTATGGGCTTTATAAGTTTGTGAAAAATTTTTCTCATAGCTAGCGTGTTGATTTACGGAAATACTCAATATTCCTTTTCGGATTGCGTTACAAATTTCTAAGGACAATTTTTAGGCATTTTTTCGCTTTCCTAATTCAGCACAAAACCACAACAGAGGGTTAATATGTATACATCAATACATATATATATACATCAGCAACATATTTATATCCTATTCACCTGTTTCTAATTAAAGCTTGCTGATACTCCGGTCCTTAGCTTTTATTTCATCGTTACATTTTTTTCTTGGCATTGAAGCACCGGGAAAAATAATGTTAAAAAACAAAGCAGAGTGCGTGCTACACTTGGTTTACCTTTCAAATATCTTTGTCCCTCTTATAAATTGAAATAGATAGGATGTTTTGATTTCGTTTTGAAAAATAATTCATTTTTTCTGGCAATTGATTTTACCCTCATGCAGAAGACCAAGGGTTCGATCCCGCCTTTAGGACAAACAATCCATTTACGATTCGTTCATTCGTTTCGCTGGTCAATTGGTATGGGCTTATAGCCAGGGAGTCAAGCTCACCATTAGTTTACTTGTAAAGAACTTCCAAAGAAGAAGCCATTGAATAGTAATAAGTATCAAAAGCAAGCACCCTTTTTGGCAGTAGGTGGTTTATTGTTGGCGTTTTCTACTAACTGGCTACTTTCTGAGGCTGTTCGCATTTTACAGAATATAAATGCGAAAGCGGTTTTAATTTTAAACATGAAGCATGCGTATTTCATTTGCAAATACTCGAAAATAATGTTGTTAATGATGATGATGATGGCGTTAGGGTGATGATGATGATGATATTAGTTCTCGGTGATTCTATGCATTTTTGCAAAAGTTTAATTTACCGTATGCAGTTTTGTACTTTAAGGACTTTGTCAAGATCCGTTGAGGACATGAAAAAAAATTATTTGAAAGAGTGAGTTAGGAAAATGAATAACATATGCTTTACTCACCAGGCAGTGTGTGTCACGTCGCCGCCATCTGCTCGACATTAATTAGACTAAATGGAAATTTCATTTCGCAACAAAAAATAGTCGCAGAAAAAAAAAGTCTTTTTTCTATGTGTTTGCAACAGGTAAATGAATTGGAAAGTGTAACAAAATTTTCCAGAATCCTGCATATCATGATTTTTTGCAAAAAAAATCAAAATGAAATTGAGATTTCATAAGTTATTGATGTATTAACGTCAGTAATAGTTTTTCCTGAATTTTTGAAGTTTTCTTAGTCTTTTCAAAGTTTTTTTTTAATTTTCATATTTTTCTAATTTTTTTTTTTAAAGTTTTCAAAGCTTTCTAAGGCATCATAAAAATTTCCTGAGATCGCACAAAGTTTTTTAAAATGTTGATAGCTTTTCCAAAGTAGTTTGAAATTTCCATAGTTTTTGGGAAGTTCGTCCCATTTTCCAGTCAGTGGGATCGTAATCTAAAAATGACAGGTTCAAAACAGAGTGGTGATACTCAATATGGAGGCAGTCTTGGACATACACAGGCACACATGCACACGTACATGCAAAACTCGCACCCTCACACAATATTTTAAAACGGAAACTCTACCAAAACTCAGCGATTTACTTCAGCCGTAAGAAACGTTAACCTCGTAATCTCTTCGGGTCATTGGCGGATCCAGGACGGACTCCTGGAAGGAGGTGGCAAGTCCCTTCCCACCTTGGAACTATGCAGAAATTGGAAATAGAGTTGTAACACAGCTACTTAGAGTTGCTTCAGGTTAGAGTTATTTTATGCTGAAGTTCGCTTTAGTTTTAGTTTTAGATCGGGTTTTTGCATTGTTGGTGCCTGTTTCGCTAGAAGGGGAGGGGACAAAAACTCATCGGATCCGCCTATGCTTCGGGCGTTGGAACAAATATCAGGATTACCAACTGGTTGACCGATAGCCAAAGCAGCACTGGTCAAAGCAACTCGAAAAGTTACTAGATGCATACTTGAAGAGCCACACTGTGAACTGCAGCTGTTGACAGTAATTCGCTTCACTGCAGTTTTTCCCTCTTTTCTTCTACCCTTTTCTTATCCAAGGCTGTTACAAAATGGTGATGACAATAATTGGATAAAAAAGTGTATAAAGTGTACGGTCTGCTGACGTAAAAGGGAGGAATGCTATTTTTAGAGTTTTTACTTGCAAATATGGAATATGCAATGGGAATTTTTTGCAGTGAGACAGCAGTGGGACATTTTTGCATAGAATGCTTTTTTGAGTGCTGGAAGTCTAGTTTTGAAGATAACTGGAGGAACAAAGACCGAGCACGGGTGAGGAAGAAGAGGTCAGGGGGAAGGAGCAAAGAAAAGGATGGTATAGGGAGGAAGAAGTTTGATTCGTAATTCAAGATTCATTTGTCAACCTCTTTCTGTAGGAATGATGTCCGATTTTGTAAGAAGCAATATATTTTTGAAGGTTCACCGTTTCTGTCCTTGTACTTTTAATGTGAAAACTGGTTTTGAGGAAAGGGGAGGGAGAAGGAAGAGGAGGGGAACGGTGAAATGCACTGAGGTGGATGTGATTTACACAACTTACCCCTGGCTCTTTCCGTAGTGTTTTTGGGTTTCAACGGAAACAGTACTCACCTCGGATTCGGTACCATTCATCTGCTTTCTCCAATAGTTTAAATTAGTTTCCATTGTAATTACACTTCTCAAAGATTAATTTTAAAAAGTGCTAATGGGATCACTGTGCTAAAGAAATGTAGCAAACACCCGAAATTCAGATTTGTTACTTATCACAATAGACTGTAGATTATAAGCCTGGATTCGAGCCTAAAGCCATAAACGATGATCCAGTAAGGTCCCTAAAGCTGTGGAGTCATGGAGTCGGTACGATGGAGTAAATCAGCTGGATTCGGAAATCCAGAACGCGATGAGGTCCAAAGCCTGATTCGCTTTTCCTCTGGGTGTCATGTTTTTTCGTTTATTTTATAGCGACAAGTTTTATTTATCCAAGACAAAAAGGAAACAGTTCCGGAGTGCGGACTTTCCCAACGCCATATTCAAACAGTGGGTTGCCAGCAACCTGGATCACAGTAAGAAATCATGATGTGAAGTGACAATAGAAGGAGTAGGAAGTGAAACAAAAAGCTCTTGAATCTTGAAATTTTGCATCCCAGCTCTAGGTTAACTCCAGAATCGCAATCTTCTCTGTCATTTCCGGTTGTCTTTTATTCTTTCATTCATTTCAATGGTAAAATGGTACTGGCAAACGCCAGGAAGTCAAACCTGTCATCAGCTTGCTTTTTAAACAGTCCTTAAATGAGGGAATCTTGCTAGCGAGTAGTTGCTGTTGGCATTTGCTTCTCTCGGAATATTTCGAGTTCTGCCTCTTTTAGAAGAGCAAATAAGAAGGCATTTTTCGACCTTAACTTTTGTTTTCAGGCTCCTGTGCCAGTGACGATAAACGCCTCGTCATCGCCATCTGCTCCGACCAGTCCACCGGATCGATGTTCACTCCAAAATTCCATTCCCCTTGCATCAACAACTACCAATGGTGGCGGTGGTACCTCGACACCTTCAATCGTCGCTGCAGCAGCAACCGATACAGCAACCTCGGCGGTGGTGGCAAACGGTGGCACAGCATCAGTACCACCAACATGTCTTTTTGGACAATACAATTTTGACAGTTCTTCATCGTCCAGCTGTCGGCCAATTCGTTCACAGCGAACGCCGATGCGCGAAATCACCACTCTTGATGACCCCAGTGAACTGGAGGATTTCATGCAGCAAGGCGAAGAAGCATGCATCTTGGACATGAAAAAATTCATCACACAATTTTCGTTAAGGCAAACAACGGTCGCAATGATGACGGGTTAGTTTTTGATGTCTTTTTTTAATTCTCCTTGTCCGCAGTACAATGGGAGCAGCTTAGGAAGAGAGAATCCCGAAAATATCCTTGCTTTTTGGATAATTTTATTATTTTGTTTTATGCGTAAAACCAGTAATATCTAAAAAATGTTCATCTGCAGTTAACATTATTATTTGTTATACTTCATACAAATATTTGGATATTTCAAAAGGCTACTAGTTCATCACTGATTCATATTCGAAACATTCTCGAATGATGTAGCCGATAACCATGCCATCAGTTTCGGTCTTACATTCTCCACATTCACTGCTCACCGTGTCTTAGGGATCCCACATATAAAAGCCCTATGAAACTGCTATTTACTATCACCAAAATCACTTGAATTCAATGATACCCTGTAAATCAGGATTCCACTTCGTCTGTTTGTTTTATCAAAAATGCCAAAAACTGTCCGACGGTACTAATGTCCCGTGTAGTGACTTTATTGGGACGCTCACATCATGTTGAATGCAGTTATCCACGGTCTCGGTCCTGGTCTGTAACCTGCAGTTGGCACTCACCGTCTGTTCCGTGTGCGTCACTTCCTTCCGCGTGATCGTTTTTTGGGCTCATGGATACCACACAGTAGTTCGAAACGTCTACCATTGTTGGCAAGGCGAGCAAAATGCTGGGCTCATTGAGCTTTATTTTCTAGCGTGTTCGCAGTGATATATTCTGTTTGTTTGAGAGGTCGAAGCACACGGAATTAGTCAAACTGATGTGTGGCACGTGCCGACTAGTATCTCTACCGATTTGGAAAACTGATATAGTTCCCTCTTCTGAGGATTGCTTAAAAGCAAGCTGATATGAATGTTTTAACTTCTTGGCATGAACCAGTACCGAAAAAATGAACGAACGAATCATAGAGGGATTGGCTATCGCACTGGTAGATTCAAAATCTCGGCCTGTGTCGAGCATCACCATCTCCTCTCGAAAACTGCCACCTCTTGGCCATATTATAGTACCTTGCAGACGAAAAGTTCAATTATAATAATTTAAAAAATAATTTTCTTTAAAGAAGATTGATGGCGATTAATAATTCATTTCGGAAATACGATACTGTAAATATGCATTGGGGTACTTGTAACGTTGGCTTGATGAATAAATTAATATCATTATCATCGTTTTGTCGACGCATATC